TTCGTTTGAAGTCCTCTCTTTTGTTTGAAGTCGTCTCTTTTGTTTGAAGTCCTCTCTTTCGTTTGAAGTCCTCTCTTTCGTTTCAATCCTCTCTCCCGTTTGAAGTTCTATCTTTCGATTGAAGTTCTATCTTGCATTTGAAGTCCTCTCCTCCGTTTGAAGTCTTCTCTTTCGTTTGAAGTCCTCTCTTTCGTTTCAATCCTCTCTTCCGTTTGAAATCCTCTCTTTCGTTTGAAATCCTATCTTCCGTTTGAAGTCCTTGCTTTCGTTTGAAGCCGTATCTTCCGTTTGAAGTCTCTTTCGTGTCACGTCCTCTGTTCCGTTTGAAAACCTTTCTTTCGTTTGAAGTCCTCTCTTCCGTTTGATGTCCACTCTTTCGGTTGAAGTCCTCTCTTGCGTTTCATGTCCTCTCTTTTGTTTGAAATACACTTTTTCGTTTAAGGTCCTTTTTTTCGTTTGAAGTCCTTTCTTTGGTTTGAAATCCTCTCTTTCGTTTGAAGTCCTCTCCTCCGTTTGAAGTCTTTTCTTTCGTTTGAAGTCCTCTCTTTCGTTTCAATCCTCTCTTCCGTTTGAAACCCTCTCTTTCGTTTGAAGTCCTCTCTTCCGTTTGATGAGTAATTGTTTTCACTCGCGGTCACTTGCTGTCATGCTCTGACTGCAGCTGCTTTTGAGCGGAAAAAAAGTAAACTTTTCCATGCACTGACGTGGAAAATGCTGGCCATTTTCAGTGAGTACGAGCTAGAAGGAGCTGTATGACTGCAGCACCGCGCGCAGTCACCTGCGGTCACTTGCTCAGCGGTCACTTGCGGTCACTTGCGGTCACTTGCGGTCACTTGCGGTCACTTGCGGTCACTTGCGGTCACTTGCGGTCACTTGCGGTCACTTGCGGTCACTTGCGGTCACTCGACCAACTGTTTCCACTCGCGGTCTGTGAAATTATAAAGGTTTTTTTCTTTTGAAACGGCGTGCGGTCACTTGCGGTCACTTGCAGTCACTTGCGGTCAAAAATGACTCTTTTCGAAATTCAAAAATTCACTTTTTGCGAGCTCAATGTAACTTCTGGCGCTGCAATGATCCCATCCAAACTCAAGAACATATCAGGAGAGCTTGCCAACGATCCTACTGGGACAGGTGAACCCTGCCGCGCTGATGATTATTTGGGTGAGGCTGGGTCCATGTTTTTAATTCAATGAAAAACTCCAAGCAAATGAAGAAGTTGCTGCAGCTTTCACTTTGATCTATTCATTGTTTCCTTGTTGGTTTGGGGATTTGATTAGGCCTCCGACTTGGACGGCGTCACAAGAAACATCGAGGCAACTACGGAGGAAGCTACGACGCACTATCAATGAAGAGAACTTGGGTGAAGCACTTGTGGCACAGGGTCGCAATCGTGACAGGAGGGACTTTGAAAAATGAAGTGGATGGGGGCTGGAGACGAGGAGACAGAGAAATATTACCATACCTCTGAGAAGACCGACTTGGGGCAAATGGAGGTCAAGGATGAAAAGTTTTTATGAACATTGGTGGTCTAAGGTGGATCTTGGAAAACAAATGAAGCTGCCTGAATCTCTTCACCCCAAGTTGGAGGCAAAGGTGTCTTAGACTCCTCTTGGTTTTTTTTGGTCTCAGACCTTGATGCAACCAATATTGTTGACTGTGATGCGATCACGGCGAACTCCGGGGATTTGAAGAAAAATGAAAGCGGCGATGCAGCCAACTGTTCGAATTTTAAACTCAAAGTCAGTACCCTTTCGGAGAAAAAACAAAACCGGTAACCTTACTCATCCACATAAAACCCAAAAGCATTTATAAAACATAAACGACCCACAATCATTTGGAAATGCTCCACTTACAGTTGGCAAATCATTACCTTCCAAGCCTTGTTCCTGATCGCAGCGAGCTCCACGGCTTGCTTGTTCAGCAATTGCAGCATCTGATTTTCCTTGACAAGTCAAAAAGTATTCAAAAGCGCCGGAAGAAGAAGGAGTGCCATCAACCTTCTGAACAAAGTATTTTGTTCAATTCTTTGTTTTTTTTTTAACCCAGCAACCTTATGTACCTTGAAACCCTCAACTACCTGGCACGGCTAGTCTTATCTCGTTGGCGGTCTTACCCCATCCCAAAAACAGCGAATTGTGTCAACTACTTCGGCCAGTCACAGTGGTCACAAACCATGCATGTATTGGAAACTAAAAATGATCGCTCACAAATAAGTGTATTGGAAACTAAAAATGATCGCTCACAAATAAGTTCAAAGGAATCACAATGGATCAAATGTACAGGTGAACATTTTGATGGTTATAATGATTGCAATGTTAATGATATGAATGAACTTCCACACATGTACATCTGAGACTCCAAAAACGTTTGCTTAAACGACCAGCAAACGCCAGTAATAGCTTCCAGTTTGGCTTCAAAACTCTGACCTCCTCTCCCAAAACCCCCTGGCTCTGGGAACTGGGACACTTAGTCCAACCAGCGTGTCCATCTTCATCCGCAGGTCGTCCAAATTACCTACACACCAAACGGCTGGCTGTCCACACGACAACCGGATCAAAGGCAAGAAAAAATGAAGATAATGAAGGCCATCATCAACCAAATTCAATATATTTTCGACGCTCTTGGTGGTCCATCTAATCCATTTTTACTCCTGTCTCCCACAATGATGATGGCCTGAATTGGACGCAGTCGCCACCTAGCGTCAACAAGGGCGCTGGGTCCTAGGGGTCCATGGGGTCCATGGAGTTCGTGTGGGAAGAAACCCACAAGTGCGAATTGTGGAAAATCATCCATCCTTTCCGTTGCCATTTTTGATAATGGGTTTTCAAAGATGGTTCTTCAGGATCCTCTTCGTGTCTCCGGGTTGCGATGAAACAATCATGTTTGCTGATAATACGCCGTGTGCTGGTGGATTGGGTTATCTGCATCATGGCTTTTAGTAAGGTGACTGCAAGCATCAATGCCATGATTGTATGAATGAGGCATCCTTCCAGGGTAGAATGGGATGTAGAACCTGTCCGATCTTGGGCGCTGGACTCGTAGCTCCTGAAGGCTATCAGCCATCTCGTTCATCGCCTGCAAAAAAAAGAGAACCCAAGTGTGAGGGAGAGCGGGACAAGCAAAGAGAGAGAGAGAGAGACAGAACATAAGCTGGACACTGTATGTTGGACATGTTCACAGGCTACGCATTTGACGCAAGCTGCCGAGCCTGGACCATCCGCGTCATAATTAACTTCTGGTCCATCTCCTGCGGCTCCAAACATTCAGAAAACATGGAAATAACGCCAAATGACATCAAATAGCATCATAGCACACCCCTGGATGGCTATGACTTAAAAGTGTTCACCCCATGAAGATGATTTCTAGCATGCAATTCGGTAAAAATCTGTAATACATTGGGATCCAGCTGTAGGATTGTTGATTATGGTTTGCTATATTTTACTACTGAGATTGGATGAAATGGGATAATTTGGAATTACTTAAAACACCTCATTTTGAGGAACCATCCAAGTGGGCTACACAATTCAGATCTTAGGATGGCACCTCTCGTGGTCCAGGCATCGGCAGTTGTCGCCTGAAACCCGCCAGCTCAAGCTAAAGCACATTGGAACAAGGAATTCGATGCAAAGTCTTGGAAAGTTCACCATTGCTCATGACACAAATCCAGCTACATGGTTTTCAGATTTGTTTGATTTTCAAGCTGGCGCATTTTTCAAACTATTTTACTAAGGTATTCAATTTGCGCAGGCGCCGCCATAGGAAAATGGAGCAGTTGCGGGGAAATATGGAGCAACATGGCAAATACTAGAATATAGCCATATCCATGGTTGTCCAAACAGATACAGTATACATCTGGAAAATCTGGAAAAACACATGGACAGAAATGTTGCGGGCAAACTGATTTGGCAGTTCTTCCCCAAATCTGGGGTCATTTTTTGAATTACGGCCGTATACGGCTTAAACCCAAATGCTGACTGTGATATGCTTTGTAATGACGGGTTCAAACTTTTTTCGATTGGTCGATAGAACGATGATAGGATTTATCCTAACGTTCTCAGCGCGACAAGGCTGTTATTGGACACACCATTACAGACTTCACGTCGTTTCCCTGCAATTTTACGAAATCTGATGGTTTTGACCCCGTTCACGGTCCAGCTGTCCAGCATCGGTCTTGGCGACTGGACTCGAAAGAAGTATGGAGATGTGGTCTCCTCTCAGGAATTGCAGAACTGTAAGTCTTAGACCCCTTCAAATAGGTTTGCAGGTCAGCGTCCCTGCACCTCTGAAAAATAATCGTCCCTCTTGAAAGTCATGAAATGATTTTGACGGTGGCCCATCGACTATCCCAGCTGCACAGCCGTGCGGGTATGCAGGCCTTTATACACCTGCCAAACAAGCAATCGCACAGCTAAGGCTGCAGCTGCATGATGTATCGAGGAGGGCTTTGCACCTGCATTTCACCCATATATAATGCTAGGAGCTTGTAGTTGTGGTTTTTTTCTATCGCCCCGCATAGAGATTTGGTCGCTCCAGGCTATCGGTTGAAATGTGTTTGAGAGCCTCTTGTGCACATGTTCTGCACTCCCAACAAACTTAGTATCACATGGCAGCCATTGTTACATCGCAGCAGCTCCCCTACACAGTTTTGGGCTCACAGCCTGCACGCATGGTGGCACACCACGGAAGTTGGCCAAGTTTTGGTCCTGGCAAACACGACGCCTGCAAAACTAATACAAGTCCTGGTCCTGTTACCCATTCGGAAAACTGATGGTGTCATGCTTGGCTCGAAAAGATTCCCCGATGCCTTCACGCGCTATTTCATGATCTTAGGATGGCACCTCTCGTGGTCCAGGCATCGGCAGTTGTCGCCTGAAACCCGCAGCTCAAGCTAAAGCACATTGGAACAAGGAATTCGATGCAAAGTCTTGGAAAGTTCACCATTGCTCATGACACAAATCCAGCTACATGGTTTTCAGATTTGTTTGATTTTCAAGCTGGCGCATTTTTCAAACTATTTTACTAAGGTATTCAATTTGCGCAGGCGCCGCCATAGGAAAATGGAGCAGTTGCGGGGAAATATGGAGCAACATGGCAAATACTAGAATATAGCCATATCCATGGTTGTCCAAACAGATACAGTATACATCTGGAAAATCTGGAAAAACACATGGACAGAAATGTTGCGGGCAAACTGATTTGGCAGTTCTTCCCCAAATCTGGGGTCATTTTTTGAATTACGGCCGTATACGGCTTAAACCCAAATGCTGACTGTGATATGCTTTGTAATGACGGGTTCAAACTTTTTTCGATTGGTCGATAGAACGATGATAGGATTTATCCTAACGTTCTCAGCGCGACAAGGCTGTTATTGGACACACCATTACAGACTTCACGTCGTTTCCCCTGCAATTTTACGAAATCTGATGGTTTTGACCCCGTTCACGGTCCAGCTGTCCAGCATCGGTCTTGGCGACTGGACTCGAAAGAAGTATGGAGATGTGGTCTCCTCTCAGGAATTGCAGAACTGTAAGTCTTAGACCCCTTCAAATAGGTTTGCAGGTCAGCGTCCCTGCACCTCTGAAAAATAATCGTCCCTCTTGAAAGTCATGAAATGATTTTGACGGTGGCCCATCGACTATGCCAGCTGCACAGCCGTGCGGGTATGCAGGCCTTTATACACCTGCCAAACAAGCAATCGCACAGCTAAGGCTGCAGCTGCATGATGTATCGAGGAGGGCTTTGCACCTGCATTTCACCCATATATAATGCTAGGAGCTTGTAGTTGTGGTTTTTTTCTATCGCCCCGCATAGAGATTTGGTCGCTCCAGGCTATCGGTTGAAATGTGTTTGAGAGCCTCTTGTGCACATGTTCTGCACTCCCAACAAACTTAGTATCACATGGCAGCCATTGTTACATCGCAGCAGCTCCCCTACACAGTTTTGGGCTCACAGCCTGCACGCATGGTGGCACACCACGGAAGTTGGCCAAGTTTTGGTCCTGGCAAACACGACGCCTGCAAAACTAATACAAGTCCTGGTCCTGTTACCCATTCGGAAAACTGATGGTGTCATGCTTGGCTCGAAAAGATTCCCCGATGCCTTCACGCGCTATTTCATGATCTTAGGATGGCACCTCTCGTGGTCCAGGCATCGGCAGTTGTCGCCTGAAACCCGCCAGCTCAAGCTAAAGCACATTGGAACAAGGAATTCGATGCAAAGTCTTGGAAAGTTCACCATTGCTCATGACACAAATCCAGCTACATGGTTTTCAGATTTGTTTGATTTTCAAGCTGGCGCATTTTTCAAACTATTTTACTAAGGTATTCAATTTGCGCAGGCGCCGCCATAGGAAAATGGAGCAGTTGCGGGGAAATATGGAGCAACATGGCAAATACTAGAATATAGCCATATCCATGGTTGTCCAAACAGATACAGTATACATCTGGAAAATCTGGAAAAACACATGGACAGAAATGTTGCGGGCAAACTGATTTGGCAGTTCTTCCCCAAATCTGGGGTCATTTTTTGAATTACGGCCGTATACGGCTTAAACCCAAATGCTGACTGTGATATGCTTTGTAATGACGGGTTCAAACCTTTTTCGATTGGTCCATAGAACGATGATAGGATTTATCCCTACATTCTCAGCGCGACAAGGCTGTTATTGGACACACCATTACAGACTTCACGTCGTTTCCCCTGCAATTTTACGAAATCTGATGGTTTTGACCCCGTTCACGGTCCAGCTGTCCAGCATCGGTCTTGGCGACTGGACTCGAAAGAAGCATGGAGATGTGGTCTCCTCTCAGGAATTGCAGAACTGTAAGTCTTAGACCCCTTCAAATAGGTTTGCAGGTCAGCGTCCCTGCACCTCTGAAAAATAATCGTCCCTCTTGAAAGTCATGAAATGATTTTGACGGTGGCCCATCGACTATGCCAGCTGCACAGCCGTGCGGGTATGCAGGCCTTTATACACCTGCCAAACAAGCAATCGCACAGCTAAGGCTGCAGCTGCATGATGTATCGAGGAGGGCTTTGCACCTGCATTTCACCCATATATAATGCTAGGAGCTTGTAGTTGTGTTTTTTTTCTATCGCCCCGCATAGAGATTTGGTCGCTCCAGGCTATCGGTTGAAATGTGTTTGAGAGCCTCTTGTGCACATGTTCTGCACTCCCAACAAACTTAGTATCACATGGCAGCCATTGTTACATCGCAGCAGCTCCCCTACACAGTTTTGGGCTCACAGCCTGCACGCATGGTGGCACACCACGGAAGTTGGCCAAGTTTTGGTCCTGGCAAACACGACGCCTGCAAAACTAATACAAGTCCTGGTCCTGTTACCCATTCGGAAAACTGATGGTGTCATGCTTGGCTCGAAAAGATTCCCGCCTTCACGCGCTATTTCATGATCTCTACGGAACCAGGATTATAACCCCATTTTCAATCAACCAGGTTTTTTCACAAAATGGCACGTTTCCCAAAAGCGGCGATTAAGCGTTGTTCCATGCGGGCCCGCTTCTACGGCCTAAAAATCTTCAATTGGATGTTTCTTGTAAAACGCTTTACTCCTCAGCCTTGACACCAATCCTCGTTTGAGGATTTTTGTACGTCCCCTTCTGCATTTACTTTTTCTTTTACTCGTACCCTACTCTGCTTGGATCTATACAGTAAATATGAATGTGCTTGGTTGCTTGCTCATGTGGGGACACCTTTTCTCTTGCGTTCACTACCGCGAGCTACCGCGAACCTACCGCAAAAAATCGAGGATTCATCGGCAATTTCCCATGTTAATCTAACACTTTTTCTTATTTACTTGCGCGTGCCTCGCACCACACTCGCGTCTAGGTGTTGTTTTGCGTGATTCTGCTGGGGGCCCGCTTCTAAACGAAGATTAAAGCCGAGTAACCTGAATCAATTTCTTCCTCTTTTGATAAAATCACTGAACCACACTTTTTGATCGGCAAACATATGCTACCTGCTCGGTTTTGACCCATCGCCATACTGGTCATCATCAATATTAGGATATGAAGGGTGATATTCCGATAATGGGATTCCGGGATTCCATTGTTTTCTGCTTCTTCCATGTTGGAAATATCTAATATTGAAAATGGAAGATTGTCATGATAGCGCATGATCGATAGTAATGGATGATAACGGATGATACTTATTGACTAAGAACCATTGATGAAAAACAATGGAGGATGATAGTGGATGAACTCGTAGATGACAAGAACGGATCGTGACAATTATGATGCAAAAGGGTCTCATGCCCATCTTATCAGCCAATACGCCACTCGGACTGACATCGACGCAAAAACCATGAGGGTTGGAAGACTACTTGCCTCTTTATTTTCTAAACATCCCCGAAATTAAGTCAAGGGTTGCCGCTACATATCAAAATCAAGACTTGTCACTTGGTGGGGGGAAGATTCAATTCAGATCCAAACCCTTCTGGCGTTTCACCGGCACGGAGCCACCTTCTGCACAGCAGTGAAGGATGCCATAGTGTCTCGGCCTATGGTCAAAGAGCTGGGATAATGGCACACTGAAATGATAGAAACAATAATTAATAGCATGTAACGATGGTAATGCAACGACGGCGATAACAATGACATCGGGTGTATTGATTACATGTCAGATGATAGTACAGTACCAATAGTACCGCGCAAGGTGGCGCCGGAAGTTTGAAAGATAGGAAAGCTATAGGACACGTATGGACAAGCTGGGTCGTTTTGAACAGTTGACTGATTGGCTGACTGACTGACTGACTGACTTGCGGTGGGACACACGACGCCCAAAAAAAGCTGGAATGCTGGATTGAACCTAAAATCAAGCCACAGAAGATGCAACAGATCAAGTTAGAATCCTCTGAGCTCATAAATTCATCGAACACCCCGTGGCCAATCGACATGGTTCCCATATTGGGAGTCCTGCACTGATGACCATCTCTAAGACCATCCCGATCACAAAATACCATCGAATCTTCCGATGGTGAAGTACAGGACCTACTTTAATCGTTGCCCTCGTTGCCGTGAATTCTGAGTATAGTTTCATGCTAATGATACTGAACCTTTCTGAATGGATATACATCCATTCTGCTTGGTTGACTGTGATTTGCTGGGTGTTTTTTTACCCCATAACATCTCAGTTCCTCCCAACCCAACCGCCCAAACTTCTGGTCAAGGGGCCAAAGGGACCAAATCCCAAAGAAAAATGGAGATGCTTGGTGCTGGAAATGCCCAAATCACAGAGTGATGACAACACGTGACCATGCCGCCTCCGGTATTCAAACTCTGTTCTACCTTGCCTTGTATCACCATTTCCCACGATGTCTTTGCACAAGAATCAACAAGTTTTCGTGGGAAAAAATATCTAACACGCCAAACTGCTGGGGTGAACATCACAACTCGCGACAATCTGAACCGTACACATTTGGGTGAACACCATGGGGCCGTAGGCGCATAAAGTGTCACAGCTGCTCCCTTCCTAAAGCGAGAATGGTGAAAGTATGTTGTCAGCATGATATCATGAGCATCCCAACATGCTTGAGGCAGCAGAATCCAAGATATTACCATCCAGAAGGGGGTTTATAACCTCCAACATCGTGGGGAAAAACACATATGAGCCGACGACATATAGATTTGCGAGGCAGTTCTTCCAAAATCAGAGATGCTAAAATCAAAAATCTAGAAAACACCAGATTCAGCACACTCCGTCCCCATCTCGACCCCAGGCCCCTTTTGGTTTCAATCGACAGCATCTCCGGGTGAAGAACCTGTCGCTGTTGAAGCCAATGGGATGGAGCAATGGCTCGCTGCCAATCATGGCTTACAATGACGAATCATGGCTAACCACATGGCTAACCAAGGTTTATCATGGGTAAGCATGGGATGCCGGAATCACCATTAGCACTAATTCTATGGCCAAATGATAATATCAAACTCTGCACGCCATCTTCCTGGTTACACCCTCATCCCCACAGCCGCACCTCCAACTAAGTTGGAGTACATAGATGTCCATTGCCAGACCTACGGTATCCTACGGTACAAAGTCAAGATTTGAATGACCACAGGAATATGACGAACCACGGCTAGCCATGGATTGCTAGTAATCAAGTAGTCGTTATCACGACAAACCATTGTGTTCTGATGGTCGTTTGGGATCATTGGATCAAATCATGGTTTGCCAGCTGTGCTGGATGGTGGAATAGCCACATATTCAAACGAAAACAATCTATATAATATGATCTCATAATTCACTTTCTGGCGTGTTCAATTACTCGACGGCAAGTGCGATTGAAATTGTTACACTCCATAATTTAGCTATAGCAGTGAACCATTACTAGAGTACACTACCAAATGATCTATTGGAATCATACCGAAACAACTTTAACGACATTGACGGCGGTAATGAGCATAACTGCACTACCGTGCAAAGAAGATTCCCAGAAGTATCCAAAGTCACTGGCCAACTACCATGGACCACTGACTGTACCCACGAACTTTCTCGCACTGCCAAATATAGACATCTCCGGCACGTGAAGGGGCATCGTAGAAAAAGATACGTAGCTAAGATATCGATTCACCATGACTATCCATGACTCACCCAGCTTTGCAACCTAACAGCAGGTGCTTCACAGTTCTCCAAGTTTCTGGCGTTTCACAGTTCTGTTCCCTTCGGTGCCACTCCCGCCACTCGCTGCCGCCAGCCATCTCTGCCTCATCTGCCGCGCTATGTGTACCTTAAGAGAGGCACTGCTCAACACAGCTACGCCATGACACTTGCTGTGGCTCAGGCTTGATCAAGTTGTCGAAAACACACTCTTCCTGGCACCCAACATCGAAATACATCGAATCGGTTGCCACTCAGTCAGTGTGCCACAATCATGCCCTCAACATGGTAGCCCTTTCCGTCGCGATAATTCCACTACTCTGCTCATGTTGGAGGCCCAACACAAAAGTGGCACGTTGCCATGAGCCACATCCACATGCACTAAATCGTTGCATGCAACCACAAGCCAAGTCCCAAAAGTTCTAGGGCCACCAAATTGCAATCCCAAGCACAACAATTAAAGGACCGGATAACCCCACAAGACAACTTCTTTGAATAAAAAACACCAAATGTTGTAGCGGGGACGGGGAAGGAAGGAAACACAAAGGAGGTGGTAGAGGACCGAGAAGTAAAACAAAGTTGTGTGTGACAAAGTTGTATGTGAAAGCTGGTGTGTGACGAAGAAAGATAGTGTGTGTGACAAAGTGGTGTGTGCAAGATGGTTTGGCGAAAGATGGTGTGTGACAAAGTTGTGTTAAAGATGGTGTGGTGAAAGATGGTGTGCGACAAAGTTGTGTGTGAAAGATGGTGTGGTGAAAGATGGTGTGTGACAAAGTGGTGTGTGAAAGATGGTGTGGTGAAAGATGGCGCGAGACAAAGTGTTGTGTGAAAGATGGCGTGTGACAAAGTGGTGTGTGGAAGATGGTGTGTGAAAGATGGTGTGTGACAAAGTGGTGTGTGACAAAGCGGTGTGTCAAACATGGTATGTGACAAAGTGGTGTGTGACAATGTGATGTGTGAAAGATGGTGTGTGACAATGTGATGTGTGACAAAGTGGTGTGTGACAAAGCGGTGTGTCAAAGATGGTATGTGACAAAGTGGTGTGTGAAAGATGGTGTGTGAAAGATGGTGTGTGACAATGTGATGTGTGAAAGACGGTGGATGCCAGTTTGTGCCACGCCTGCCACGTGAAACGAAGGTGAATGTCAAGCTGTGCCACGCCTGCCACGCAAAGTGCCGCGGCGTCACGGGCGCCCAAGCCCGTCCAAGCGCGCCACCCAGTGCCATCTGTCCCACGCCTGCCACGCAAAACGACAGTAGATGTGAGTTTGTGCCACGCCTGCCACGTGAAACGAAGGTGGATGTCAGCAAGTGCCACGCCTGCCACGCAAAGTGCCGCGGCGTCACGGGCGCCCAAGCCTGTCCAAGCGCGCCACCCAGTGCCATCTGTCCCACGCCTGCCACGCAAAACGACAGTAGATGTGAGTTTGTGCCACGCCTGCCACGTGAAACGAAGTGGTGTCAGTTTGTGCCACGCCTGCCACGCAAAGTGCCGCGGCGTCACGGGCGCCCAAGCCTGTCCAAGCGCGCCACCCAGTGCCATCTGTCCCACGCCTGCCACGCAAAACGACAGTAGATGTGAGTTTGTGCCACGCCTGCCACGTGAAACGAAGGTGGATGTCAGCAAGTGCCACGCCTGCCACGCAAAGTGCCGCGGCGTCACGGGCGCCCAAGCCCGTCCAAGCGCGCCACCCAGTGCCATCTGTCCCACGCCTGCCACGCAAAACGACAGTAGATGTGAGTTTGTGCCACGCCTGCCACGTGAAACGAAGGTGGATGTCAGGTTGTGCCACGCCTGCCACGCAAAGGGCCGCGGCGTCACAGGCGCCCAAGCCCGTCCAAGCGCGCCACCCAGTGCCATCTGTCCCACTCCTGCCACGCACAACG